AATCTCTTTCTCCAGGTTTTCCTGTTCCCCCCCTGCCCCCCCAGGGGGGGGGGGGGGGGGGTGCGCTACACCTTCAGAATCCCTGATGTGAGCAGGGAGAATGTAATTGGAGTGAAGAGGTAAGGGCATTGGCAACCAAAACAGAGGCCAACAACACAGGCTGAAGAAAGCATATGCCTCCTTCAGAGGATGCAGGGCAAGGCAGGTGCAGAGTGAGCAGCAGGTGAGGGAAAAGACCTCACAAAGCAGTCATCAGGCACTGCCTGCTATACGCCCCCACCTTCACCTTTCTGTGTACTGTTTCCTCACATTCAAATACCAGTGGACACATCCACTTATGAACTCATCTGGTCAGACGGTCTTACCCCCTAGCCACAGGAAGTCATTCACTGAACGCAGGAGCTCCACAGACATGTGGTAGTGTACCAGGGCATCCTGTAGCATCCCAGCCTGGAGGCACAAGTCTCCCACGTGCTTCCGCATGCGTCCTTGGCACCGCTTCTTGTAATGTCTAAATGATAAAATTCAAGGGAAATGCCTCGTTATTGCCGTCCCTTCCCCACCTCAACCCAGCACAGGGCTGAGCATGATACAAGTTTCTACCACTAACAAATGCTGAGAAGGTGGTGTTAGGCTCTACGATTGGAAGCCAGCAGCATTGCCAGTCATGTGAGCTGCAGGGGTCCTGGCCTCAAAGCTGTGCTTCTGCGTGGTTTGTAAAGTAGTCCTAAGCAAGACTGCTACCTACTCAGACACTGCTACAGTTGGAGCCTTCTTCCCAGATAGCTCCAATTTCAACACTATCCCAGACATGGTGGAGTGGATGTCTCAGCTTTTAAGTAAATCAGTGAGCCTTCTGCCCCCCCCCCTTTTAACTTCAGTCTAGATTATTCCATAAAAGAGATGGGGCATATCATCAGCCAGCTATCCAACTTTAGGAAGCAGGGCCTTTTCATAATTTCAGAGCAAGCTTAAGTAGACACTTGGAGTTGGGGCTCTTTAAACATTGGCAAGGTTGTGCTATGGAACGATGCACCATATGGAGCAGGCTTTGCCCTCAGAAAACACTGCTAATCCTTGGAATATTAAACAGCTTCAAATATGTAATTCTTTTTTAAAAAGCAAACTGCAGCTGTCTTAAGTGGAAGCAATTCTTTTCAAGAATGAGCCACTACAGGAGTGGGGAAAGTCCTGACTAAATCAAAGGGACTGGCAGATCCCAATAGGCCACAGGGCTACACCAGGATGGCCCTGCTAACAAGCAACACTATATTAGGCTGTTCTTCCATCCCCAGGAGACACAGCCACAGCCAGTCACCCCAAGGTCTCCAGAAGAATCATCCTGGCCTTCCCATAAGGGGCTACCACATGCCACATACCCTACCAAAGCATAACCTGGTATGTCACTTTCCTGCCTCAATCTCCTCCCCGAAGATCCCCATCACTGATCCAGAGAAAGGGGAGTCCACCACTAGTTACTCTATGTCCTCATGCCTGGCCTGCCAGCATCCTACCATTCTGGATGAGGTAAGGGCAGCTGAGAATGGTCAGTCCAGAACACTGACCCACACCTAACCTCACCACCTAAAGGGGAAAAAAGTCACTCTGGGGGCTGGAGTTGGCACAGCACTTGCTATTTTTCCAAATAACCTGCATTCAGTTTCCAACATCCACAGGGTGGCACACAACTCTCTGTAACTCCAGCTACAGGGATCCAACACCATCTTCTCCCTCCTCAGGCACTGTACACAGTACATGGTATACAGATATACCCACAGGGCAGCTACAGGGATCCAACACCATCTTCTCCCTCCTCAGGCACTGTACACACATGGTATACAGATATACCCACAGGGAAAATACTCATAAAATAAAAATAAATCTTTAATTACTCTATAGGGCTGGGGCTATAGTTTAGTGGTAGAGCACACATTTAGCATAGTACATAGGGGAAGCCTAAGAGTCCATCCCTGATATCACAAAGAAAGAAAAGTGTAAAAGTATCCTGTTTAATTGTAAATATGCATTATGTAAAGCCATGTCCTTGCCAAAGTGACCTGTCTCTCTGGGGGTAAAGTTTTTTGGTGCCACTCAATCATCAAGGAATTCTGAGCTTGTGAAAGAGCTTGAGCACTTAGGTGTGGAGAATTTCTTCTTCTTTTTTTTTAAGGCTCTGAAACTGGCCAGTTTTAGGTTCTAGCATCACAGAGCAGACTCAGAAGAGAAAAGGTCTGACCAGCCCAAGCCTTGATCCTGCTACATCACCAATTAAACTCTCTGAGAATGCTGCAAAATGCTGCTGACCCCACCTCAAATACCGTTGGTGATGCGAGGTACACAGATTCCGTGGCTAGCTGGTGGCTGAAAGCTAGCTGGGCTGGCTTGGCCACCCTTCCTCCTCCTCCCCAGAGAGCACTGAGCCTGTGAATACCAAGGTAATACAGTAACTCACACTTAGAAGCAAAGTCACTACCTACTATGGTCACAGGAGTTTGCCTCTTTGAGTCTATCACAATTAGCCAAGAACCTTTCTCCCACTTGCCTATCACCTGTCTCTTTAGACCCCTGCCCAACCTTCCACTCGAGTCCACAGAAAGGACAGGACATTAGCTGGAAATCTCATCCTGCCCCAATGGGTCCTCTGCTTGAGGATGGCATCACCTGTCTCCTGCCACCAATGCCACCCAACTTGCTCCCTCCTGCAATCACTGCCAGAGCCCAAGTTACTCAGATCTGGCCACAGCAGGGTTTTCACAATCTGGATGGACAGCCCTCCATATATGCAACACCCTTAGGGCACATGTCAGCTGCCCCAAGAGTCCATACTCCTCATACTCCACTACTGGGGCCCTCCCCATTCCCAACTTCCAAAGGGCTCCCCAGATCAGCTCATCTATTTCTAAGGTTCTAAACACAGACTTAAGGCCAACATGTCTCACCTCCTCTAACTCCAAATACAACTGCAGCTGTTCTGAGCATCTTTTGACTGCCTATGCCTACCTGCCACCCCCTCTAGCAGCTGATCCAGGCAGAATCACAAATATATTTGACCCTTCCTTTTTTCCTGAAGCATGCCCTGGTATGTTCCCCGGGAGCTGGCCTGACATACATCAAGTACCCAGAGCTGTGTGCCACACTACCTGTAGGGGGTCCTCACTGTTAGTTTCTCCTGCAAGAGGCACTTAGGAGGGTCCTTGTCCCCCCACACAGGAAGCCCCAGAGAACAGGCCAGCACATGGATTCATGGTTCCCCATGGTCTTATGGGCTTTGTGACAAGTCTGCTAGCGTGAGCAGGTGAGAAGAGGAAAACCTAGGGCAAGCTACTGTCACATGAATGAATGCAAGACCTCCTGAGTGACAGAAAAGTCCTGCAACCATAGTAGGACCCCTGCTTTTTCCCTGCAGCCTAGCCCCAACTCCCTATACTAGTGACAATAATGTCCTTATGGCCCCAACCCTAAACAGGAGGGAATCTCTCAGCAAGTCCAACCTTTCTCCATGGAGACAAAGTAAAGGAAAACTCAAAGTGTTTGCATCTGGCCAGAGCAGTAAATGGAGGCTCAGAGGCTGTGTATGGTAGCAGCAGAATGCAGAACGAGACCATTGCCCTCCAGTGAGGTTTGCCAGGGGTGGGGAAAGAGAGGACTCGGTCAGCCAAAGATCAGCTTGGAAGGATGACTTCAAATGTCTAAATCTGTGACACAGATGAGTGGCATGCCATCAGCCTCCCCTGCCTGTATCAGGGATGAAAGCCTGGGCAGAGCTCCGCAGGCAGAAAGGATGAATAGCAGTCAGTAACACAGGTCCTCACATGCTTAAGACTCAATGAACTAGCTATTTTGAAGGTCATTGCTTCCTGGTCTTAGAAAGATCACCCTTAAGCCCTCTTAAAGAGAGAGACTGCTGTCCACTTAGAGTGGCCTCCCCCCTTTCTGGGGAGAAACTGCTGACAAAAGGAATAGGGAAAGGGCCCCTCAGGGAAAAGCAATAGAGAAGGCAGGCAGCTCCCACAGCAGCTCTGCTCCCCACATGTCTGACCTGCAGGGGCCACACCACCATGCACATCCAACAGCCGCAGGCAGCCACCCACCGCATGCCTCACTTGCTTCCAAGCCTGGGGTCAAGCAGGGCTGCGCTCTTGGTAACCCAGGTTAAAGTATCCCCATGAAAACCTCTGCAGCCACCCAAATGAACTGGCATCTCACATCCTCAAAACAAAAAGGAATTAGTAAAGGCTTATTTGTCACCAAATACTAAAGACCACAAAGGTCCCCAGAGCTAGTATTTTGACAAACATCAAACACCGATGGGTTAGGTGCTGAGGAAGCTAAAATCTAAAAGAAAGAAATGAACAATTAAAGGACTGCTCAGAACACACAGGGATCTAGGCAGCAGTGTTGGTTTTTTGAAGCAATGGCGGCAATGGGAACAGCACATGGGGAAACTAGCCACTTTCACAGTGGTATGTTCACAGCCTACCTTTTCAGACCCAACAACATACTCACAGGGCGGTATGATAGAAAAAAAAAGAAAGAAAGAAAGAAAAGAAAGAGGGACAAGCAAAATTAGAAACATACAAGAACAAAAATAACAACTCTGAGAGTTACACACTACATGTACAAGACCCCTGATGGCTCTGATGAGTGGGGTCTGGGTGAGTGTAGACTCACAACCATGTACACCCAGTGCTACCAGAAGGGCTTGCTCTGTGGGTACAATCAACGTATTGTTACTGGACCAAACCAAAACTGGATGGGTGTCCAGACATTTCCCCTCAAGCTTCGAGATACTATGTTACTTCACCTTGGACAACTGTTCATGCTACCAGGACAAGCAGGCAAGTGTGAGGCTCTGTCCTGCCTCCAGATCATCTCAGAAAACAGAGACTACAGAGTTGGGATAAAACAAGCCGAATTGGCAGAGCTGTGGTTTCCCTGGCATCATTACCTCCCTCAAGTCCAAAGTAGAGGCTTTCAAGTGGGCTTAGCTGGGACATTAGTTCTGACTCAGAACTACTGACTTTCTAACCCTTCCTCCCAGGAAACCAGGCCATGAAATTATAGGTGGGTAAAGGAGAGTGGGCCTAAGACATACCAAAAGCTTCAATTCAGGTGAGACATGAAGATTCTACCCAGACCTTGCAAAATATCACAGACTGTGTAACAGGGCCACTCTTTGCTTCCAGCCCCTTAGCTTATGCTCTATTCTGTGGTATTTTCTTGTCAACTCACCACCAAGCAGAAAGCTGCTATGTAACTCTAAGTAATTCCAGAAGCATACTACTTGGCCTCACCCATTCTACAGCAGGCACGTTATGCCATTTGAGCCTCATTGGGGATCAAGATCTGAATTCCAGATGATAAAGCAGGACAGACTCAATTCTTTGGGCTCCTGCCTGGGGCCATCAAGACTTTGAGTGACACAGCTGCATTGAACCCTCCCTATCAAAAGGGAACCCCTCTTGGCAAAGGCTTCTGCCTAAACTTGCATCTCACCTCTTCTGCTAGCAGACACAGTGGCAAGATGGTGGCATGAGCAGTGGGCTGAGAGTGTTTACAAATGGCCTGAAGAGTAAGTCTGTAATGGTGATCCAAGGAAAGTGCAAGGAACAGGGCTAGGGACAAAGCCCACAGACTTTGTCTTGTTCCATCTTGAAATGTAGAGCATGTAGACATTTCAATGTATACAGGTGGCTCCCCAGGGGCGCCTGGGTGGTGTTTCTGACCTCCTGCAGCTCTGGGGTGAGGGAATGACCTGGAACCCATAGAGTGCCTCGCCTGGGAGTCAGAGACCTAGGCTGCATTCCCAGGGCCCAACACTGCAGAATCTCATCTGTGCTCTAGGGCAGCACTGACAAACAGATAAGCATCAGCCACAGAGGCTAATTCAAGTGTCTAGTTGCCTCATAGTTTGTGTTTTGTTTTTTGTTTGTGTTTTGTTTTGTTTTGTTTTGCTGAGACAGGGTTTCTCTGCGCAGCCCTGGCTGTCCTGTGGACTTACTCTGTGGATCAGCTGGCCTCAAACTCCAAGGTCTGCCTGCCCCAACCACCTGAGGGCTAGGATTATAGGTGTGACCCACCATGCCCTGCTTCAGTTGCCACCAGTTAAAAAGTAGTAACAGGGCTATGAATGTGGATAGTAGCTAGATTGCTTCTCTGGCATACAGGAAGCCCTGGATCTGAGTTCCAACACAGCATTAAAATAGGGGGGATATGCTGGTGCTCACCTCTAATGCTACTAGCACTTGGAAGGGGAAGGAGGAACCTAAGTTCAAAGTCACTCTCAGCTACATAGAGTTTAAGGCCAACCTGGGCTATGTGAGATCCTATCTCAAAAATAAGAGTTGAAATAAATGTTAACTTCATTTTTAACCTAACATATATCAATGCAAAAAAATATTCATGATCCATTGTACATTCTTTTTTCAGTATGTGCTATATTTTACACACATAGCTCATCCCAGTTCACTATACCCTGGTTCCTGGTGCTCAGAAGCCACAGACAGTGATGACTGCAGGTGTCCCACCAGGAGACTCCTGACACCCAGGAGTATATGTGCTGACCCTTAAGGGACTCCTCTTGTTTAGTGGCCAATGGACCACATTTCAACTATCCTTGCTGCACCCACACTCTTGCATCACTTTTGCCTCCTATGTAAGGAGGCACCAAGCTCTGTGCTTCTAGGTCAACCATTCCTACATAAACTTACCTACTATCCGTGTCCAGTCCCACGAAGTCCTTTTTCTCAAAGGGGACACAGAGAAGGGGGATCTTGTCCCCGGACTTGTCAGTAGCTCTGTCCAGGCGCTTGGACTCCAGGACAATGAAAAGGGACTCGATGAAGTCTTCGATGCGCTTCTCCACCGAATCGCAGTCATCGTAGTTGGGATAAAAGGCCACGTCGGGGCGCGGCTGCTCAGTCACATCACCCTGCAGCCCGAACACGAAGAGGCGGGAGTCATAGAGCGTGGAGCCGTAGATCTCCTTCTGCACATGGAATTTCTCAAAGGTCTGTGGCCAGTCCTTGGCCGAGAAGCAGTCAGTGATGGTGATGAGGCCCACCACCTTGCGGTGCGTCTGGAAGTCTCCCCACTCATTGTTCTCAGGTGGGTAGTGATGTCGGTAGCGGATGAAGAGCGCGCGCTGCGAGTCGCGCACACTGAGCTGGCTCACGGAGCAGATCCGCTTGTAGATTCTGAAGAAGTTCTCCTCGGAGACGATGCCCACAGCCTGTACAACCACCAGCAGAGTCTGGTGGTCCTCTGCACACTGCATGTAGTCAGGGACGCTCATCCTGAGGGCCTGTCCAAAGGGAAAAGAGGCTCTGACAGGCGTCTCTGCTATGTGGAGCTCACACTGACCCCATTAGCAGTGGCGGGCAGAGACTTCGGTGTCACACACCAGGTCTACTCCCATTAAGCCTCAGAGGCAACACAGGCTACCACTCTGAGTGGCTACAAGTGATTTACACAGTACCCCATGAGGCTACTTGTCTCTACTGTGAGAAGCAGAAGTTGAAACTAACCATGGGCCAAATACTTACATATTAATGAACTTTTCTCAGTGTCCAGATTGGAAGAAATAAGACTCTCTTCATGGACAAGAGTATCACTATCATAACTCTGTCAGACCCCTCAGTTTAATAGGTAAACTCAGCACACTTCTGATTAGAATTCCAACCCGGTTTCTGACAGTGAGGCTAGCTAATTTTTGAGTAAGAGTAGCTAAGACTCCTAACATGCCACCACAGAGGGGCGATGTATTCCTCAGGAAAACAAGACCATGTAGAACCGCTAATGAGGTATCTATACAGAACGACAAAAGTGATCCATACATGGTAGTTCATGCCTGCCATCCTGGCACGCAAGAGGCCAGAGTCAGATCATGAGTTCATGGTCAGCCTGAACCACACAATCATATCTTATCATAAAAAAATTTTTAAAAAGATGTGTTTAATCCCAGCCACTTAGGAGGCAGGCATATGTCTGTGAGTTTAAAGCTAGCTTAGTGCACCTAGTAAGTTCCAAGCTAGCCAGAGCTGCATAGTGGGGATACTTCCATCTCAAAAGAATATTCATAAAAAGAAAACTAAAAAGCTGGAGAGATGACTTAGCAGTTAAGAGTACATACCACTCTTCTGGGGTTCCAGAGTTCAGTACCCAGCATCCACATCAGGCTGTTTACGGCTATCTGTAATCCCAAATCCAATGGCTTTATCACTCTCCCCAGTCTCTAAGGACACTGCAGTTACATGCAATTACACACACACCCACACACACACACACACACGTGCGTTTGAAGCCAGCCTGGTCTACAGAGTGAGTTCCAGGACAGCCAGGGCTATGTAAGAGACCCTTTCTCAAAAATAAATGAACAAGGGGCTAGAGAGATGGCTCAGAGGTTGAGAGCACTGGCTGTTCTTCCCGAGGGCCTGAGGTCAATTCCCAGCAACCACATGGTGACTCACAACCATCTGTAATATGATCTGGTGCCCTCTTCTGGCATGCAGGCAATGCAGGAAGAACACTGTATATATAATCAATTATAAATAAATAAAAATATAAGATGTACCTTTTTAAGATTACAGTTCTGAAAGCACACAGAGTATCCATTGTTGTACATTGTCACCATCATCCATTTCCAAAACCTACTAACAACTAACTCTCCCTACCCCCTCTTTCTCTCTCTCAGCACACACACACACACACACACACACACACACACACACACACACACACAGGAACCTAGAAAGTGGTAGGCTGAAAAGAAGCCATATAAAGGTGGACAATGGATGATTCCACTAACATGAAATGCCCAGAACCTGCAAATCAAAAAAAAAGGGAAGTGTGTCTATGGCTGCTAGGATTTCCAAGGGTCGGGGATGAAGGGTGACTCTCTAAAAGGTATGGGCTTTCTTTCCCAGTAATGGCAAAATGTTCTGGAACGGAGATAGTCACACAATGTGAAAATACTGGAAACCCCTGGAATGCAGGTGTAGCTAGGAACCCCATGAGACCTTGCACACGTTAGGAAAGTTCTCTCCCCATGCATGCTTACTATCTCCCCTCTTTTTACCCTGGGCTTCACTAAGTTGCCCAGGTAGGTCTTGAACTGGCAATCCCCTGCCCCAGCACTAGGGTTACAGGCACACACTATGCCGGTCTGTTTTCTTTCTTTCTTTCTTTTTTTAAAATTAAGTTTCTTGACAATATCTCCTCCCCTCCCCCACTAGTATACCATCTAAAAACATTAAAAAGAAAAAAAACCTCATCAGGAAATATTCTGGAATATTCTAGGTTTTCAACATCATGCACCTGGTGCTACTGTTTGGTAATAACAGACAGGGAAGATAAGGAACCAACTGTAACTCGTAACTCTGCAAAGTCACTGTTTTTTAAAGGGGGTGTGTCAGCTTCATACTTTTCCCTGAATTCAATGGAGCCGGATTTCAGCTCCGTTAAAGGCCACATTCAGCTGATACAATACCAGAAAGCTCTGCTTAACAATGTAACAGGGAAGAGAGGCTACAACAGAAAGGCAAGATCAAAGGCCTAGTGCTGTGTGACACTTTCTCCGCCCAAGCTGTCAAGCAAGGAGGCAAACTGGAGTTTTACAGCGCAAAGATTTCATTCCAGGGAAACTGCCCAGTCGGGCTGGGTTGGAGGCACTGGGCCGCTAGACTGGGCCGCTAAGGGATGGTGCACCCAGTTCCAGGTGCAGCATTGTAGGCGAGGGGCGTGGCGCACAGTGCAGCCCAAGCCAGGCTCCAGAACGGAAAAGAGGAGGGACCGAGAGCCAAAGACTGCCCGGCCCGCCAGGAGGCTGCAGGTGCAGACCATCCCGGACAAGTGTACGCAGATCCTTGGGGTGCACACACCTCACCGCAGGTGCAAGTGGGGCGCAGCCACAGGGTAGCAGGCTGTCGCCGGCTGGGCAGGGGACCTGGGCAGACACGGGGACCTGGTCAAGCAGAGGACCCGGCAAGCAGGGGATATGAGCAGACGCGAAGACCCGGACAGGTGCAGACCGGGCTAATCACCCAGCCAGTCCCTCCGGCCAGGAACCCAGTGCGGGGCCCCAGCCGGGCACTTACTCAACGCGGCGGTCCCAACCAGGAGCCGAGGCCTGGAGGGCGGCGGGACGGAGCAGCCAGGAACCTCCGAACCACCAGCCCAGCCGGCGCAGCTCCTGCGCGTGCGCAAGTCGTATTCGGGCCTAAGATCTGCCCCGGGTTTTGCCGGAGACCTGGAGCCTGAGAGGGAGGCGGGGAGGAGGGTGGAGGGAGGAGGGACTAGAGGGAGAGGGTGGGACTGGAAGAATGGGACTGGTGGATAAGGAAGGACGTGGACGATCAGGAAGGGAGATGGGAGGAGCCAGAGGAGGAGCGTAGAGCACGAAACTACTAAGGGAGGTGCCTATGGTGGGAACTGCCAGTCCTCCACTCTGGGCTGGATTTGCGCTTCTCTGGTGGCACACAGACGAGACCCTAGTTTCAACCTCACTAAGCCGCCTAGGCTATATTGCCCTCAGGAGACTTGGCGTCCCAACCACGACCTACAACCCCCCCTTACAGGTTGGGAAAGCTGGTATGTGTAATGTAGGAATGCCTAGTGGACGCTTTCTCTGAAGAATTAGGTCAAGCTTAAGGCTGAATCAAACTAGCTACCTTTGCAGTCAAACCAGGATCCTTACATGGGCCCCAGCAGTAAATCCATCCCCTAAAGGTTCCTGAGCCCCTTGGAGGCCAGCTTACCAAGAAGCATGGGCAGTCACTGAAGGTTGTTAAGCCCCCATGTGTTTATAAAAAGGAGAGAATGTATGGAGGTTAGAATGAGCATGGGTACATAACAGTGGCTCCAAGAAAAACAAAAAACACAGAGGAGGGGAGGCTCTCCCCTTGTGTTTATCGTATTCTGTTTGAAGTTTCTCTACTTTATGCATGCATTTCTTTTAATTTAAAAATGCAATTAAAAACAGTAATGGAGAACCAGTTGAACCACTCAGCAAACACAAGGGGAAAGCTGTCTGAATCAACAGTTGCTTTAAACTAGCAAGCTTTTATTTACTCTGCTATGTATCCGTGCTGTTTTATAACTTATTTTATAATTCACATTTTTAATAATATTCTCATCTTCATCCTTGCCTCAGCCAGTGGAAAATCAATGGTATGTTTGGCTTGTGTTTGTGTTCAGGTTTTTCTGTGTGAGAGAGAGAAGGGGGAGAGAAAGAGATGGAGGTCTGTGTGCCAGGAGCCAGACTCACGCTTAGCACTGTGCATCACAGATCCTCACCATAGAGCTATGCTGCACATCAGGGTACAGAAAAGATGCACCACTTGGCTGGGAACATGTAAGTGGCTGGTGCTATTTAAGGATTTCAATCCAGGGCATGTCCAACTCTTTCATAGTTCTTTTCTGTTCTAATTCTCTATAAATAGATTAACATAAGCCCATTGGAAAGCAAGATAGAAATCTGGCAATAGGAAATGTTGCTTGTTTTTGTGCATCACTCTCCTGTTTATAATGTACCCACTGTATTCTTTCACTGCCCTGGCACCTGTGTGGTGGTGGGAACACCTTACCAAAAGAAGAGGGATAAGGTAGTAAATAGGAATAAGCTTGGCATAGTAAAAGCTTGCCAAATCCTCAGGCCACCAAGCCGGGGTGTCCAGGACAGGCCCAAAGCTGTCTTTCACTATCTGTAACATATTGTTTATTATCTGTAACATTCCCCCTGCATCTCCTCTGAAGGTTGGGAATTCAAAGATATACAAAGACTGCCTGTAGGGCATTTGTAGACAGTTAAAGTTAGGAAAGACTTCTAAAATAATCAGTTCTATAATCACAATACCTGGTAAGCAGACATACACAGATTAGTTACCAAAAACAATTTTTCCCATCACACACATCCCTCATCCAGCTCCTCACTGGGGTGTATAGTCTTAACCAGATGTTGCCTAGGTTTTGTTTTATTTTTTTGTTTTAAAGACAGAATCTCACTATGTAGCCTTGGCCATCCTGGGGTTTGCTATGGAGACCAAGCTGCCCTCGAACTTACAGAGATCCTCTTACCTCTGCCTTCCCAGTGCTAAGATTAAAGGTATGTGACACCAACCTGTTCCTCATTACTTTCTTATAGGTATCCTTTCTTCTCTTCCTTTTTTTATGTTCATGTCTCACAACAAAGACTTTCTTACTGACTTTTCCCACCCTAGTACCCTGTTACTTAGGGGCCCTCCCTAAGTAACTTAGGGACTTAGTCACGTACACAGGCTGCCTGTGATTTTTCCACCCTGAGCTAAACTTCTGGTTTGGGAGGAGTGGCAGCATCCTGAATGTCCCGACAAGCTACCTATCTGTCATTAAGCATTAACCTCTCAAAGGCACTTTTTATCTCAAACGTGGACCATCCTATTTTATTTACAGCACTTTCACCCTCATATTCACACCAGGTCCTAACAGAGTGCTTAGTAGAGGTGGAGGCTTTGATGGCACCTATTTCTTTTAACTGAGGCTTCTGTAACGTATGATGGTAGGCTGAGTGGCTTAAATAGGAGTATTTACTGGTCAGTTCTGGAGGCTAGAAGTATGATTGTAGGATACAGCAAAGTGAGATTGTCATGAGGCCTTTGCCATGAGCCCTGACTATGAAGATTGTTTACCTTTGTCATGTGTAAAATTTATATGGCAATTTGATGTCATTGTTTAAGAGTGATTGGGTCTTAATCCTGCATAAAAATATAATTTATAATGTGCAAAAATAAGATGGGACTTATTACTAGGCTCTGCAAAGACCAATTGTATTAATTAATTTTTATTGTGTTTTATGAAGAAACACTTAAATATGTGCAGCTATTTTCTCCAGAAAAAGACTGTGCAAGTTTAGTACAATGTTGTAAGTAATATTAAACTCTTTGTCCACACTAATACTGTATATAAGAAAAAAGATCCATGTGTTGAAGTTTAATCCTTATGATGAGGTACTGAGAGTGTGGCAATATCATCTGACCTTGATGACTAGGAGATGATTATATGATGAGGTACTGAGAGTGTGGCAATATCATCTGACCTTGATGACTAGAGTGGATCATTAGGAGATGATTAGGATTAAGGTCCTTGGTATGATTAAGATTAAATACTGGTCACTTTGTAGGAAAAGGGGTAAAACACAGACAGACACAGAAACAAGCACACTTCTTGTCTGGTGTGGTGCTCTGTGCTGCATGGGACACTGGCAGCAATACCATCACCAGATGGAGCCACTTGACTGTGTGCCCCACAGTACATAAGACAAATAAACCTCTGTCCTTTATAGTTTACCAGAGCTTGGGTGTTATGCCAGCAGCAGCAGCTGATGCACCAATAGGATCCTCTCTGGGGTCCAGACTACTAACTTCTTGTGTCTTCATAGTGAATCAATTCAGATAGCGCTCTGGCCTCTTTGAAGGACACTAATCATACTAAGGTCAGAGCCTTCCTGACTTCATCAACCCCCCCAAGAACAGACCTCCTAAACCATCACATAGGAATTGATCTCAACATAGAAATTTGGGAAGAACTCATTCAGGCCATAACAAGCTTTATTAGGAAATTCTTCAGTAACCTGGGGATATAAATTATTAGAGCAATCCTAGACCTTTTCTGGGGAGGAGACAAGTGTGCCAAAGAAAAAAGGAAACAAGAAAAGAGCCAGCCAGATGGTTTAGCTTGTAAACGCACTTACCACTGAGACTGATGACCTGAGTTCTATCCCCAGAACCCACAGAAGGAAAACACTGACTCCCAGAAGCTGTCCTCTGATCCCCAAACCTGCTTCGAGGCATATGTGTCCCCACCCTCAAACACAACTTACACACATGATGATGATGATGATGATGATGATAACAAACTGACAAAAAAGAAAAGAAAGCTGGTCGGTGGTGGCTGGCACACACCTTTAATCCCAGCACTAGGGAGGGAGGCAGAAGCAAGAGAATCTCTTTGAGTTGAAAACCAGCCTGGTCTACAAGAGCTAATTCCAGGACAGTCTCCAAAGCCACAGAGAAACCCTGTCTCAAACACCCCCCAAAAAGAAATAGAAAAGAGAAAGAGAGAAAATTGTCTAGTAAAAAGAATTAGAATATGCCAGGTGGTGGTGGCCCACAACTCTAATCCCAGCACTTGGAGACAGAGGCAGGAGGATTTCTGAGTTTGAGGCCAGCCTGGTCTACAGAGTGAGTTCCAGAACAGCCAGGGCTACACAGAGAAGCCTTGTCTCAAAAAAAAAAAATGTCACCATCTATTAAAGGGATGATTGCTCCAAACGATTGTTATCAGGATGATTAAACAAAATAAAATGTAAGAAATCCATTGGATACAAAGTGAGGCAAATTCAGTAATAAGGTGATGATATGTCTTTATTTTCCTGGAATAATCTCAGATTGTCCTAGCTAAAAGTATTCTGGTCGGTGACAGGACCACTTCATGCTGCATAAACACTGTCAGCTCTCAGGGCTTCTTTTTCCCACATGACCACAAAGCCATCTCTCATCTGGGCTTCCTTGTTCACAGGCCAAGGAGTGGAGAATCTATTTAACTGCCTTATTCAGCATCACCAAGAAGCCCCTAGATTAGACCTTCAGAACTCTTCCCTCAAAACATTGTAATTATAGAACTGGAGATATGGCTCAGTCAGCAAAGTGCTTGTGTCACAAGAATGAGGAACTGAGTTTGGATCTAGCACCACATCAAAAATAGGCATGGGAGGGGCTGGAGAGATGGCTCAGAGGTTAAGAGCACTGACTGCTGTTCCAGAGGTTCTGGGTTCAATTCCCAGCATCCACATGGTGGCTCACAACCATCTATAATGAGATCTGATGCCTTCTTCTAGTGTGCAGAAGCACATGGAAGCAGAATGTTGTATACATAATAAATAAAATCTTTAAAAAAAATAGCCATGGTGGAGTGTGCCTGTAATCCCCAGCACTAGGGAGGCAGACACAGAGGGATCCCTGGGATTTTTGAGCCAAGTTGCCTCAACAGACTGACTGACTTCAGGTTCACTGAGAGATCTGAAAAACTAAAGTGGAGAAAGACTGAGGAAGACACACAAGGTTGACCACTGACCTCCACATAAACAAGCACATAAAAAAGTACACACATATATACTATAGACACAAATAACGCAATGGTGGTGGTTACCGTTTATGGAACTCCAACCTGACCATTTGCAATGTAAAACAGGGCATCCTAGTTAAAAGGGCAGCTGTACCTTGTGACCCTTCTTTGGTATGAATCCATTGAAAAATAAAATACAGATATTAGACTATGTAAATTACACTGTTGATTTATTGTCAATATGTTGAATGGAGAGGACCCAGAATTTTGGGTTTGACTTCCTAACTCCTCCTTTAGGGTTATTCCGACTCCAGTATAGACAGCAACCCTCCCTTAAAGTCAACACTTAGGGTTCTGATATAGTTCAGTAGTTAAGAGCAAATACTCTTCAAGCAGAGGACCAGAGTTCCAAGCCCAACACGCATGTCAGATGACTCACAACTGTCTGTAACGCAGCTGTAGAGGATCTGACCCTTCTGACTTCTGTGGCACCTGCACTCAATGTACACATAATGGTACACTTATAATAAAGTCAACAGCTATAAAAGAAGATTTTGAGACAGCTCTCATGTAGCCCAGGTTGGCTTTGAAACTTGCTGTGTAATCCAGGAGGACCTTGATCTTCTGAGTCTTTTGCCTACAACTGCACAGTTGAGGATCATAGGGATGTGGGGACTGAACCCAAGACTACATGCATGCTAAGAGAGCAGTGTACCAAAAAGCCTGGAATCTAACCCCGAGGTTAGCTGATCCACGCTCATTTCAAACCTCACAGTGCCTCTGTGAGACAGCTCTACTGTCCGGGTGGATGGAAAGTGAAGGAAAAGGGCTCGGTGGTAAATAAGCAGCAAGCCAGAGTGTCACTTAGGTTTGGGGTGTGTTGAGTTCAGAGGTGGAGCCACCTGAGAAGGTCCCTGGAGTAAGAGAGGCTATGTCCCCCTTTTGCAAAACGCTATGGCACCAGACTTAAAAGAGAGGGCGACACCAAAGTGTCAGCCAAACCATGGACTCTTGGGAAGCAGGGTCGAAATTGTAAAGCCTAGTGTCCCTCGGTCCATTGAATGAAGGAATGAAGGAATGAATGAATGAATGAATGAATGAGCTAAGTCCCTACTCCAGCACCAGTAGTCGGCCAATCAACGCCTTTACCAGCGGCCCCGCCCGCAAGGCCACACCTCCCGCCCGCCGTCAGAGTACCCTCCGGATGCTTGCAAACTCCGGGAGTGGATTATAGTGCCTTCTGAGACTGCGCATGCTCCGCGGCGCCCAGGGGGCAGATTTGAAAGCGATTGGCCAGGAGAAGCCAAGCTCCTCCCGACTCCGCCCACCCCAGCGCAGGTCCTATCCACAGCCGAAGGCTCGCCTTTCCCAGCACCGCCCCGCCGCACACAGCGCAAGGCGGAACCAATCATCAACCAGGATGAAACAGAAAGAGGCGAACCGGAAGTGACGCAGACCAGCGGAAGGCGGGCAGTCGGAGCTCGTTGCCCTGGGAACTGAGCTCTCGGCTGCGTCAATCGTGCGTCATAGGTAGGTAGGGCTCTTACCGTCTACGCATGCGCGGCCATAGACGCAAGCGCGGGAACAACCCTAATTTAGGCCAAAAAAGGGTTCAGAGGCGCGTGTGAAAATGGTCTGTGTCGGGGGAAAGGATATGTGCCCGACCAGCTCAGCGACCCAGGAGTCTGCGTGGGTGTTTGTGTGAGATGTCAAACTGAAATACATTTTTGTTTTCCTTTTGAGACAGGAGCCCATGAAACCTAGGTTGGCTTTGAACTACATAAGTAGCGGAGGGTGACCTTGAACCCCTGATCCTCTAGTCTCCACCTTCTTCGTGCTAACATTCCTGTACCACCACACCTGGTTTATAATATGCTGAGGATCAAGCCCAGAGCCTCAAGAGTCTTACTTAGCCCTCTACCGATGGAGCTAGAGTCAGCCCTTCCCCACTTTGTATTTAAAACGCAGCCATGCCGGAACACTTTATTCAGGGTAACTTGAATGAATTCATGTTCACTCCTGTTTGGCTCAGAATGAACTACTTTGTTAGGTCTTTTTTCCAAAATCATGTCCTGATTGGATGCTAGTAAGGTCATTTAAATAGAACAGTTCTTCGTTCTCAAAGAGATTATTAAATGTGGGAAATAGTTTGGAAACAGTATGTTCTTTACAACTGTAAGAAAACTGGCCAGAGTTGTCAACAAAACTCGCAGCTTTATGCAGATTCACCAAAATTTTTCCTGCTGCCTAATTTATCATTGTCTTGGTGTAGCTGTCGTGTAGAAGTAACACATTTATGCATTGATGAGGAATAGCGTTTTTGCACACACAACAACTTGTTAAAATTTGTTAGTTTACCTAAGTATTATATTTGTGCTTAAGTGCTCAACCAACTCACAGTGCCCACTTGTAGAACAAGAAATATGGTCCAAAAATTTGTAACTCAATTTTAGAAAGTGGAATTTTACCCTTAAAAGAGAAGTATAAGAGGGGACTGGAGAGATGGTTCAGTAGTTAAGAGCAGAGGCTGCTCTTCAAGATGGACCCGGGTTCTATTCCCAGCACCCACATAGCAGCTCACACCTGTCTGTAACTCCATTTCCAGGGGATCTGGTATCCTTACACCATTGCACATAAAGTTAAATAAAGTTTTTTTGTTTTGTTTTGTTTTTTAAGAGAGAGAAGTACAGAAAAGAATTAGAAAAAAAAAAATCCTACCAAGAATTAATCGGAGAACCTGCAATTCCACATATGACCACCAGATGTCAGAAGGCGCCAGCAGCCATGCTAAGAAAACAAGACGCCTGTGTTGAATTAGGATCTAATTGCCTCAAATTGCCTCTGAAACCAGGGTTTTGACAATTTGTCAGGGATCCTGGGTCAGGGAGTACAGGGCAAATCCTGAGTAGACAATCGGAGGAAGACCTCATAAGAGAGATTTAAATGAATTGGCAGCAGTTTAATTCTTGAACAGAAATTTAAGACTTCAACTTATGCTTTAATCCCAGAACTACGGAGGTGGGGGCGTACAGATCTCTGTGAGTTCAAGGCTAGCCTGGACTACATAGAGAGTCCCTTATCGCTAAAAGAAATGGAATTTAAGCCCGGGCGTTGTTGGCACACGCCTTTAATCCCAGCACTTGGGAGGCAGAGACAGGGGGATCTCTCTGAGTTCGAGACCAGCCTGGTCTACAAGAGCTAGTTCCAGGACAGCCTCCAAAGCCACAGGGAAACCCTGTTTCGAAAAACCAAAAAAAAAAAAAAAAAAAAAGAAAGAAAGAAATGGAATTTGAGTTATTAAGTATCCTGCTTTTTATTACATTGTATATCAAATGTCACATAATATAATTGGAAACAGATGTAGTTATTATATGTGTGATACTGTTGCCTTACAACTAGAATGTTGGCCTTATACTCTGTATCTTAACTATTAGAGCATTAAACAAAAATTTATTTTTAAAATTTTTATTTATTTATTCATGTGTATATGTGAGTGCTTCTGTGATAACTTTAGCCCCAGCGTTTAGGAAGCAGGCACAGGCAGATCTTTGTGAGTCTGAGGACAGCTGGGGCTACATAGAAAGGCTACAAAGAAAAACAGGCAGGGGCCACTCATGATGGAGCATACTTGTAACCCCAACTCTCAGGACTCAGGCAGGACTGCAAGTCCAAAGACAGCTTGGGGTACATAGCCACATAGCAAGATCCTGTCTCAAAGAGAAATGGGGGTGGGGGCATAGGAAGATGCATCTGTAGTTAAAGTACTTGACCATATAAATGTGAGGACGGGAGTTAAGATCCCGAGAGGCCATGTAAAATGGTGGGTGGGCATGGTGGCCAGCCTGTAATCCCAGTCTCAGAAGGGAAAAACAAGGGATTCCTGATAAAGCTGTCTAGCAAAACTAGCTGTATTATCGATCTGGGTTGTGGGGTTGAATGAGGGGCCCTGCCTCATTGAAGGAGGCAAAAGAGGATCAAGGGAGATTTCCAATATCAACCTCAGGCCTCTACATGCACATGTACAAATGTACAACCCACATACACATACACCCACCCACATGCAAATTCACACATACATACCACACTGAGAGACACATGAAAAGAAAAGCGAGACAAAATATTCAAATTAAGAGACTGAGAGGTGGTTCAGTTGATTAAGTCTTTGCCCCACATGATGATTTAAATCCCCAGGACTCACTTGAAAAGAAGATATGGCAATGTGCACTGGGAAAGTGTAGAGAAAGCAGAGACGAAAGGATCCTGGGTCTGGCTAGTCAACTAGTTTACCCAGATCAGTGAACTCCCAGTCTCAAAAATAAGCTGGAGATCAATTGAGGAAGACACTACATATCAACTCCTGGCCTACACACACACACACACACACACACACACACACACACACACCTGACAGGACATGTCACACTCACATGCACACAAATATACAGATGTGTTTAATAAATGAATTTTTAAACTGGGCCTTGGTGGCACATGCCTTTAATCCCAGCACTGAGGAGGCAGACGCAAGCAGATCTCTGTGAGTTCAAGGCCAGTCTGATCTACAGAGTGAGTTTCAGGACAGCCTCCAAAGCTACAGAGAAACCCTGTCTCGAACCATCCCCCCCAGAAATAAATAAATGCATTTTAAAAATTCTTCCATCAGCAAGATGGCTCAGCAGGTAAAGGTGTTCGCTGTCAAACCCTAGGACTTGAGTTCAA